GGTTTGAAGAGGTGGGGGGGTGGGAGGTTGGGGGAACCAGGTGGTGGGTATTAGAGAGGGCACGGATTGCATGGAGCACTGGGTGTGGTGCAAAAACAATGAATACTGTTACGCTGAAAAGAAATAAAAAATTTAAAAAAAAAAGACGACTTTGAACTTCTTAATGGTAGTAAGTTATGTGGTAACTTGTAAAGTTATAATAATAATACTGGTATCTTAAAGTATATTAGCAAGGTTTAATGTATTTTTAACCCAAATGATGGGAATAGTACTAACTACTTCAGTTGTGTTTTTTATAATGCTGATGCTAAATCTGTCAATATCTAGCAGTGTGCAAAGATTCTTGTATGTTAAATGAACATGATAGAAAATACAAATATCTTAACTTTTCCCTTAGAGATCGCCCAGTGAAATTTACTGAGAGATCCAGACCTGGAGTTCAGATATCTTGCTCATCTTTCAGTTCTGGTATGTATAAAAATTGAAAGTTTCAAGTACCCAAAATATTAAATGATCCAGTTGTAAAAGATATATGTTTAATTTTGTGGAGAAAAAGGTATATGTTTCTTAATAGAAACATACCCCAAATGTGAACCATATGATATAGTAGATGGACCTTTGTGGATTTTAACTAACATGTAATAGCTTTTAAAGGTTTTTTTTTTTTTAAATTTTTCTAATATGTTTTTAATAAATCAGAATATGGTTGGTAAAAAGTACAGCTCTCCCCCCATACACACACAGTTCAACATTAAAATCCTGACCTGACGTTTCAGAAAATATATACTATAGTTCCATATAGAAGTCACTTTTACAGTGTGTAAAGGTTGCTTTTCTACTGCTAAGAATTATATGCTAGTTGACCTTTTCTTTCATTATGGTAAATTTAACATAAAATTTACTATTTAAAAAAATATTTATTTATTTGAGACAGAGAGAGTGCACACATGCACCCATGAGCACTTGAGTTGAGGGAGGGACAGAGGAAGAGACTCTCAGGCAGACTCCATGCTGAGCATGGTTGTAGGGCTCAATGTCAGGACCGCAGATCATGACCTGAGCTGAAACCAAGAGTGGCACACTCAACTGACAAAACCACCCAGGTGCCCCTAAAATTTACTATTTTAATAACTATTTTTAGGTGAGTAGTTTTGTGACATTAAGTATATTCACAATGTTTTTGATATATTACCACCTTCCATCTCTAGAATTTTTTCATAATCCCCAAAGTGGTTGAGTTTTTAGATTACACCATTATAGCCACTGTAAAGAGAACTCTAGATATAGGTCATTTTATAAAAAATTTTTGAGCGTTAGGATTTTGCATAAGTTATAAAGAATTCCTCAAGGCTCTGACCTTTAATGTGTATTATTCAAAGGCCTGTATTTAGTGTATAGTTGTTGGGTTTTTGTTGGGTGAATGGTATAGTTGTCCTTTAAATATCTCTCTTGAATTTCACCTATTTTTCTCTGAAATTTTATATGTCTTTAATGATTAGAAGATAACCTGTCTTTAATGATAAGAAGATAACCTCTTATTAATATAAGGTAGCATATAACTAAGAAGGCAATTAAAAGGTTTTTTAAAGTTCCTTGGTGTAATGTTTGCTTGTTTGTTTTTTAATCTTCCAGGTGGTATGTTCATTACAACAGGTAGCACTGACCATGTGATTAGAATATATTATTTGGGTTCTGAGACCCCTGAGAAAATTGCTGAATTAGAATCACATACGGTAAGAGCAAAATGAGAAACTTAAGTATGTTGCTTTCTTTTTTAATATCTCTGGAAAGTTGGTTTTATTTCTTCTTTTCTAATCTGTACCTTAATTAATATATATTGGTGCTGAAATCTACATGGTAAGATACCTCGGTAGTAATGAAGATCAGTGTGAAATTCTGGATTTAGTATGGCTGTAGTATATAAAACAACTTCTATTTGATTACATAGAAAGGAAGAAAACACATATTATAGTAACAGTTAATGAAAATCCTCTTTAAGCCTGCTGTATTCAATTAATTATGTGAACTGTTTGTTACTTTAAAATTACATACTTTTTATTTTTTTAATAAATAAACCATATTCTCTTTAGTAGCATGTATTTGTGATGCTCAAATATGACCGATCAGTGGTTCTTAGGCATTTACAATCTATATACTTTTTAAAAGACACATTGAAAAATGGTGGCCTAGAAGGATCCTGAAACTACCTCCTTCTATGAACACAACAAATCTGTAGCTATGTATGGGACAATTCCCTCTGAAAAGGACCCGAAAGCTAGGCAAACAGTGGCTCTACAACAAAGCATAAATGGGCCACACTGAGATGGGTATAAGAGGTAGAGATGTGGTCCTTCAAAAAAACTCCACCTCAGGAGCAGCAATCCACAGTTGGGTGTGATCTCATAATATGGAACTTGTTCTTGAGTAGCAAGGTATCTATGTCCCACATCAGACACCCCAACCCTTGGGACCTGCACTGGAGAAATGAGCCCCCAAAGCATCTGGCTATGAGAACCAGTGGGGCTTACTTCTAGGAGAATTGTAGGGAATGAAAAATATACTCTTAAAGGGTCCTGCACAGACTCACTTGCCATGGGACCCAGCTCAAAAACAGTTTGCAAGGCAACTAGACTCTATGTGAAGGAGACTCATTTGTTATTCTTAAAGCATCTGCTGGAGAAGCAAGAACCTCTTGGGACTCTCTCCAGGGGCAGAAGTGGGCACCATTTTTGGATTCTCCTCCCTTGTTGGTCATGGTGTAGATGGGCACTGTTGTGGAACCCCTCCTTTAAGTCTTTAAGTCTGCTAGCTTCAATGGGAGCACCCTACCCATGCATTCTGCAGCTGTGGCCTATCCCACCATAGCCAGGTGGGCTGAGTACCCCACCCCCATACCACATTCACAGCCTGCCTGCCATAGTTGGTGGGCATGTATACCCCAAACAGGACACCCCTTGATCACCTGGCTCTGGTGGCCCAGGATATTGTTTCTGGACCCAATGTGTTAGAAGAAGTTAGAGAGACAGTTTTTGACAGGCTACCATACCCAGGGCACTGCACAACTAGAAGACTAAAACACACCCTCATTCTTGATATGAAAAAATTCCCTTTTTTTTGGTCATGGGGGCAGCTCACACATCCAGAGGCTACAAAAAGGCTCTCAGGGAACATGGGCAGGGGTATTCACTATATTGGAACCCTCACTTGGCATCATCTTGACATCATCGTAGCTCACTGATACCTCACAGAAAGGAGGTTATACACACGTCTAAATCTACGATTTTTGCAACTATTGCACAGGGACACCTCTGGAATTGGTCTGGAAGTCAACAGGATTTATGATTGTGGATCCAAAGACTACATATTTGCATATCTTAAGAATATATTGCCTGATAATCTGTCTTAAAATTAGCCTGAAACTAGGCACTGTCTGAGATCCCTTCCTTTGGAACAGTGACAGGTCTTGGCATACCTTCAACAACTGAGACCTATCAAGAACAAATTGTGCTACTTATAGACAATCTCAGGGGTATGAGAAACAACCATAAGCTAGGCCATGGCTGAACTGATAAGGTTTATCTCCAATGCAAGATCACACTGTATAATTTCATTTATATGTGTAATCTAAAAAGTAAAACAAATGAACAGAAAGCAGAAGCAGACCCATAAATGCAGAGAAGAAGCTTGTGATTGCCATCCGGGAGGGAAGTAGTGTAACTGGTAAAATGGGTGAAGGGGGTGAGAGATACAGGTTTTCAGTTATGGGATAAATAAATCATGGGGTAAAAATTACCAAATAGGGGATGTAGTCAGTCATATTTTAATAGCAGTATATGGTGACAGATGGTAGCTACACTTCTGGTGAACATAGTATAATGTATAAACTTATCAAATCACTATGTTGTACACCTGAGATTAATATAACATTGTGTGTTAGCTATAATTAAATTTTTTTTAAAGAGGAAAGGTAACTATTTTACTTAACACATAGAAACAAAAATGGAGTCAAGCAAAATGAGCAGACAGGTATATGTTCCTGATGAAAGAATGAGAAAACCTCAGAAAAAGACCTTAATGAAGTGGAGATAAGTAATCTACCTGATAAAGAATTCAAAGTAATGGTCATAAATATGCTTACCAAACTCAGGAGAGGAATGGATGAACACAGTGAAAACTTCAACAGAGAGATACAAACCACAAGAAAGTAACAAAGAGAAGTCACAAAGCTGAAGAATACAATAAGTGAAGTGGTAAATATACCTAGAGGGTTCAATGGCAGAATAAACAAAATAGAACAGATGAGCAACCTGGAAGACAAGACACCAGAAGTACCAAGAACAGGCAAAGGGGAAAAAATAGAAAAATTAAGATAGTTTAAGGTACATACTGGACAACATCTAGCAGAATAACATCTGTATTATACAGAGTCCAAAATGAAGACAGAAGGAAAAACAAAAAAGGTAGAAAACTTATTTCAATAAATAATGGCTAAAAATTTCCCTAATGTAGGGAAGGAAACAGATACTCAGTTCCAGGGAGCCCACAGAGTTCCAAATAAGAAAAAAAGAGATCCACATTAAAGAACATTCAAATTAAAATGTTAAAGATTAAAGAGAATCTTAAGAGCAGCCGGAGATAAATGACTTGTTGCATTAAAAGGGCCCCCATAAGCCCATCAGCTGATTTTTCAATGGAAACTTTGTAGGTCAAAAGGGAGTGGCATGGTATGACATGGTGTATTGAAGGTGCTGAAAAGGAAAAAAAAAAATGTCCAACCAAGAATTCTACCTGGTAATATTATTCAGAATTTAAGGGGAGATAAATAGTTTCCAGACAAGCAAAAACTAAATGAACTTGTCATCATTAAAACAGTCGTATAAGAAATGTTATGGAGAAGTGAGTTGGGGGGCATCAGAGGGGAGACAAACCATGAGAGACTATGGACTCTGAGAAACAAACTGAAGGTTTTGGGGGGGGGGGGGGTGGGGAAAGCCTGGTAGTGGGTATTATGGAGGGCACGTATTGCATGGACCACTGGGTATGGTGCATAAACAATGAATTTTGGAACACTGAAAAAAAAATTAAATCTAAAAAAAATGTTAATGAGATAAATTTCTTCTGAAAAGAAAAGAAAGTAACTAGTAATAAGAAATTGTATCAAAGTAAAATATCTCACTGAAAAAGATAAGCATGTATTAAAGATAGGGGATTAAACACATATAAAGCTAATATGAAGTTCAGAACAATAAAATTGATAAAATTATATAGTAATTGGTACAGAGATACACAAAATGAAAAGTTTTATTTATTAAATCTTTTTTTTTTGGTTTTAAATTTTGTTGCTTAACAGTGTTTTATTAGTTTCAGCTGGACAATATAGTGATTCAACAATTCCATACATCACCTGGTGCTCATCATGGAAAGTGCACTCTTTAATCCCCATCACCTATTTACCCCATTCCCCCAAAACTCCTCTGGTAACCATCAGTTTGTTCTCTATAAGTAAGAGTCTGTTTCTTGATTTGTCTCTTTCTTTCCCTTTGCTCCTTTCTTTTGCTTCTTAAATTCCACGGGTGCATGAAAACAGATAGTATTTGTCTTTCTCTGACTGCCATTTCACTTAGCATTATACTCTGTAGCTCCATGCATGTCATTGCAAATGACAAGATTGCATTCTTTTTAAAAACTGAATAATATCCCATTGTCTATATTCTTCTTTATCCATCAATTGGTGCACATGTGTGTTGCTGCATGTGTCTTGGTTATTGTAAAAAAATGCTGCTGTAAAAATAGGGATTCATATATCCCTCTGAATTAGTGTTTTTGTATTCTTTGGGTAATTACCCGGTGTTGGAATTGCTGGATCATAGGGTAGTTTGACTTTTAACTTTTTGAAGAACCACCATACTATTTTCCAGAGTGGCTGCACCCAGTTTGCATTCCTACCAACAGTGCAAGATGGTTCTCCTTTCTTCATATCCTCACCAACACCTTTCGTTTCTTGTGTTGTTGATTTTAGTCATTCTGGCAAGTATGAGGTGATATCTCATTGTAGTTTTGATCTGAATTTCCCAGAGAGTAAGTGATGGTGAACATCTTTTCATGTGTCTGTGGGCCATCTGTATGTCTTTTTTTGGAAAACTATTTATTTCTTCTGTCCATTTTTTAACTGGATTATTGGATTTCTGGGTGTTGAGTTTTATAAGTTCCTTATATATTTTGGATACTAACCTTTTATCAGATATGTCCTTTGCAAATATCTTCTCCCATTGCTTAGGTTGTCTTTTAGTTTTGTTGATTGTTTCCTTCATTGTGCAAACACTTTTTATTTTGATGTGTCCCCAGTAGTTTATTTTTGCTTTTGTTTCCCTTGCCTCAGGAGATATATCTAGAAAGAAGTTGTTATGACTGAGTCAAAGAGATTACTGCCTCTGTTTTTTTTAGGATTTTTGATGGTTCCCTGTCTCACATTTAGGTCTTTCATCCATTTTGAATTTATTTTTGTGTGCAGTGTAAGAAAGTGGTATAGTTTCTTCCTTTTGCATGTGGCTACCCAGTTTTCCTAACACCATTTGTTGGAGAGACTCTCTTTTTCCTGTTAGATATTCTTTCCTGTTTTTTTTTAAAGATTTAATTTATTCATTTGACACAGAGAGAGATATAACAAGTAGGCAGAGCAGCAGGCAGAGAGTGGGGAAGCAGGCTCCCTGCTGAGCAGGGAGTCAGATATGGG